CCCACGCCCACCCACGCCCACCCACGTCCACCCACACCCACCCACCCACACCCACCCTACCTATCTTGTCAATCTTTTTCTTCTCGCCCTCGCCTCTCGCTGTCCGTGCACAAGCGCACTCGCACGAGTTCTTGCGGACGTTCCAACACCTACTTCAAGATGCGGAACCGACCGCTCTCAAGCAGCTTCAAACGTGCGTATGCCGTGACGCGAGCTTTCTGCATCTCCGTGCTCGCCCAGGCCTTCAGCTAGTTATGCGCGTTGGCCCGCGCCTTTTGGGCAAGGCCTTGCAGGGTCGAAAGTCAAATCCTCGAATGTCCGGAACCTGAAAACATCTCAAGACCATGCATCGGAGATGGAGGAGAGAGAGAGAGAGACTCAGAGAGAGGTGAGAGAGAGAGAGAGAGAGATCTGGTCCTGTTCATATGTAACAGGGGGAAACAGCATGCTTTTTCTCGCGACCCCGAACTGCATCTCACAGCTGATACCAGGGCCCCCTCCTTAGTATATTTTTATCGCCCGATGCTTGCATAGTCAGTTTCTCGTTTTTCGCTTGTCAGCTCAATTAAACCTTTTCTGTCGGCCATACAGTGTATAGCCACCCTTCGGGGGGGCTACCATGTACAGCCGAGTCTCCTGCGGTAATAACCCCAGGGGGATCTTCTCCGGCAAAGAACCGCAGCTGCGCATTCGCGTGCGGGGGGAAGGGCCCGGACTGCCCTGACCTCCATGGCTGGTAGAGAGAGAGAGAGAGAGAGCATGGTTATGCTGTCCGCATGTTATTCTTCGGTGTATGCTGTTTGATGATAATGTTGCCTGCCCGAATCCCACATCTGCAGGGGAGTACTTCTCTCTTCTTTAAACTGATGCGATAAACCCAACATCGGCAACGACCTTTGGTGTTCCCACTGTTCTGTTTTGGATGGCTTTCCCCTCCTCGCCCAGTTGCCTTTGTGGAGTCTGAGTATTTTCCACGTCTCCCTCCACAACGGTCGGGGGCGCTTGAAGCGCGCGGGTAAGGAGAGCAATCCCCTTACCCATAGCCCTGGCGAAGGAAAGAAAGAGAGCATGGTTAGGATACTCCAGATGTTTGATTTGCCCCACGGAGGCACACGGTACCTACTGTCGACCTGACAGCAACTTCCACCTTCCGAGACCCTCCATCTGTCAGAATGATGGAGGGGTAGCGCCTAGAGCGCGGGGTAGCAGGTCGGTCTGCTGCTGCCTCAAGCCCCTAGCAAAGCAAAGCAAAAGAGAGAGCATGCACGTTTCTGACAAGGGCGAGTAATGACCAGAAAACATATGTTATTTCACAATGCCCAATGCTAAGTTGCAGTTCTGGTTAAACAACTCCCCAAAACTTGCACTCCCCCCTAAAAGTCCGCAGAAGGCGGGCGGGCTTCATGCTCGGAGTGCTTGACCCGCCCCCTGAACCTGGTGGAGCAAAAAGGGAGACAGATGAGAGAGCGATAGAAGATGTGACCTTAAACCTGCAGCAAGCAACAAGATTTAAAGAGGGTTGTTTCCCTTGTGCGAGCTGCCGTGGTAGTAGATTTTCTGAGACACGCCCCCATAACACACTTGCGGGGCAAGAAAGATAGGAAGTTAAAACTGTTAAGAAGTATTTAAGCTGTGGACGAGCCTGCCGCTCGATTGGCAGGCCCTCAGCTTGTACCCGCCTGTCCCGGGCAGCAGCATCTTGCTGCTCGGATGTATGACGTATAATGTTGTCCGAATTTATAGAGCCCCCTTTTTTACCAGTGCTTGGTGCCGCCAAGGAACGTGCATCAGCTCGGGAACGTGGAGTCAGACCAGAGCCATTGCCAGATTCGACAGCGGGCCTCCTGGTTCAATAAGGCCAGGCCTGGACGAGCCTTCACGTACCGCTTCGACTACTGGTTCACGGCTCAGTTGTCGGCTTCATCTTCCTAGCAGTCCTAGCAGCTGGCAGTACGGAGTGCAAAGGTACACCGGCAACCCGAATTGCACTGCGGTCCCCAACTACCATTTACCATACCTGGGTGCTGCTCACCAAGATGAAGTGACTTTTGTATTGGGCCAGCCAAACTTCATGGAGGATGGCAGCTGCTGCGGCCTCTGGGGCCTTACCACACCGGACTGCCCGCACCTCACTCGCTGCGAGGCATGCTATGCCCCGAACCGATTCGGCCATGAAGGATATCGTGCTTACTTCAACGACAAGGAGTACCCAGACAGCACTTAGTCCTGGAGGCAGCATGCCATGCACGTCTGTGGGCCTCCGTGACATCATCCCTGTGTGCGAGCATCTGTAACTGACAAATTGTATTCCCCTGATGCTTAACATCCCTGAACCTTGGTGCAGTACGAGGTGGGGCTTTGCCCGAACCGTGGGCACCTTCTGGACCAACGTTGCAGCCAGCGGCGACCCCAACTGCAGGGACAAGTGTGACACACAACGCTCCTGGCCGAAATTTGCAGCAGGAGGCGACGTGACTCAGACCCTTGCCCTGTTTGCATCTTTTTAAGCGTCTTATACAGATCCGCCGGGAAGGAGGTAGGGCGGTAGAACCCACAATTTCTCTCTCGTGCAAGCTTGATCTGAATCTGCGCGAGGAACATCGTGCTCAATGCCTCTCTGCCGGGTGGCTCGATGGCTGAAGAGACCCCCCATGGTCGCCCAGAGATTTGCGCCTTTTGGGATGCAGTCGCGGCTGACGTCGCGACCGAGCATTCAGAGCCCTTGTACGCGTGAGCTGTGAGCACAGCGTGTGCGCCCCGGGCCCTGGGATTTCCTGTACAAGCTTTCTCAGGGCTGCTTGGGCTCAGAGCGTCCCTCTCAGGGATCCGGGGCATCTACGATCTCCAAAGACCTGTTGCAATCTTCGTACAGACTTCCTGAAGGCGCCATTCAGCCCAATGGAAGAATCCTGGAACCCTCCGACTCCTCACAGTTCGCTTCAGGCAGAAAATGTCGTGACAGAAGTGGCGGGAATGATTTGACGAGTGGCATGAGACATCCGTGCTTTTGCCAAGTGTGCTAAAGTCTGAGTGAGGCCGAAGCCTCAGGGCCTGAGAGCCTGTGAGTGTATGCATGGGCTGAGCTGATACACCGCAGGAGAGGAAAGCGCTGTATGTTTCACCCTTGGCTGACCCTCTCATTACAGAAACTCGGCAACAGATGTAATGTCCTTCCAGCACCGAGCCACATAAAGGGCAGAGTCTACAAGACGGTTGGAGGGCATGCCCTGGTACAGATGTAACGAAGACAGAAGCTCAGGATAAGCTTCTGGATCGATCCTTGAAGCTGCTGAAGAAAGCCGTCTCCGAGAAGCAGACCAGGCAGATGTAAAGAGCTGTTGATCTGCAGACTATTGGGATGATATAGCCGCTGCAGAATTATGATGATGAGATTTCCAAGCCTAGCAGAAGAGGAATTTGGCAGCTGGTGTTCCGAGGCGTGGAGTCCCCGAGGTCACAAAGGCCATTCGCAAAGGCCAAAAAGGAGTTTGTTTCTTAGTGCCTGCCTGAGCTGCTAGCTTTGAGGCAAGAAAAGTAAGCGCATCATGCCACTAGCTTCCAAAAATCTGCGCATTGCATGCTGACAAGAACTGCTCACACTCAGGCTGCCGACATCTTTCCCATGGTGGCATGGCTGCACGGGTGGTACTAGAATTTCTTTGTGACGCATAGTTTTTCCTCGCCCAGGATGTTTTCGCCCACGTGCCACTGCTGGCCGAGGACCTTGCTCGACTTAGGGCCAGCAAGCGAACTGCAAACTAGATCATCGAAATGCGTGAAACCATCTCTCGGCGCATGCCCAGGCCAGCAAAAAGCTGAGACCACCACTTCGGCAGCTGGATCAAACCATCAAGTCAAGTCAGCCGAAAAACCGAAGGAGAAAGGCGTGCACTACTGTTACGTGTCTTCGCGACATCAACTCGGTGCTGCTTGCCAGACACGACGGCCCATCAGCTTGGCGCCTCTGCCACAAGGATGATGGTGCTTGTGAGAAGTTTAAGAAACTTTACAGCTTCGGTGTTAAGGATGCTTCAGGCTGGGGCTGTGATCCATATGTCGAGCAAGTGTCGGCCATGAACATTGAAGCTTAGGGCCTCGCAGCGCCTTCAAAGGTCATGGTTCTGGAGCCCAAAGGTGACGCCACTTACAGCAAGACCTACGAGCAGGTGCTGAGCTTTGGCATAATTTGGTCGTGACGTACATCTGATTTGCACTCGGCGACTGCACCGCCAAGGAATGGAATCAAAGCGATTCATCCTTACATGTGAGCGCATTCCTCTCGATGCCGAGCACTGATCCGCAAGTCGGGCTTGGGCCTTGCCTCCGTCTCCTGTGACAGCGACAGTAAAGAAGACAGGGGAAAAAACCGCGCCGCATGCGCTGAACGCACTGCATGAAGACTCGGAATAGTCATGCTCAGCATTGCAGGGCACTTGTGGGAGTGTTTCTTGCGCAGGTGAGTCGGTGTCCGATTGAATGATCTCCCGCGCTTGCCTTCTTTCACATGAAACTTTCAGGGCTCGCTGTGCCAGGCCGCGTGCCTGAAGGGCACGCGCCTGAGCCGCCGGAGCCATGTGCGAGCCTGGCAGTGGGCTGCCGTGATGGGATGCGGTGGCAGCGCCTGGAGAGGCCCGTCAGAACTGAATCCCCGTCTGAGAGGAGGGACTCTTGTCCTGAACAAGGTGAGATAAAAGGAGGGGATCGATCTAACCAGAGAAAGAGGGTGGGTTTGCTGCTTCTGTCGTAGCCGACAGCACTTCCCGTGAACACAGATTCCTCAGGCTTGTAATGTCACACTGAACAGCCTCACGGGGGGGGCTGGGGGAGGTCGGGGGTTACCCCGACCATAAGGCCAGCAGAAAGAGAAAAAAGGCGGTCTTGAAAGTGCAAGGTTTAGAGGTTCGGAAACATGCATGAGTGTGGGAGTCCTTCAGCTTGAGCGACAGAAGCGAGCAGGGAGGGAGCAAGGGGGAGGGAAGAGGGAGACAGGTGGGAGAGAGTGCAGATGATGTTGTGTTGTTTAGGTTGGGGTTTCATGGAGAGTTATCGTGCTCCTGGCTCTCTATTCCATGCAGGCCACCAGTATACTCCGAGTTGCGCACGGCCCTGCAACACGTGCGATGCTGTCTGCACATTGCACAGACGAGGGTTCTTCGACACTGCAGAATGCTCCTTGTGCGCCACTTCCTCTATGAGCTTCAGCTGGGCTTGTGTGCACAAGTGCCTTGGAGAGATATCGAGCAATTTTAGCCACAGGCAAAGACTTGCCCCACCTTCCATAAAGTTTCCTCGCGACCTGACAGTCGCCGCTGATGCTTTCAGCTCGATTCGGCAGGTGCGGCTTCCAGGTTTGTTTGCCATGTGAACTCAACATCGCCATGGACGGGGACAGCGTGGAACGACTGCAGATGGCTCTGCATGCAGTCGAGCACCACGAAGCAAGGCCCAGCGCATCGCTGTCCCGCCAGTGATTCCCGTATACAGGGCAAGCATGTTCTCATTAAGCTGCCTGGAAGTTGGTGACCTTGGCCCTTGCAGGGATCCCGGGGTGGCAGCTGCATCGCTTCAGCTGCAGCTTTGCGATCGGCTCGATATGGCTTGCTGCCTCACCTCCTTCCAACAGCTGGAGGAAGCCATTTCTGCCGCCGAAGGGCGGGAGGCTTTGATGGCCCACAGCTCGGACATGTCATTCCAAGATACTGGCACACCGTCTGCTTCTGGAAGTCAAGACGCTGCGAGACGAATTTAGGTCCGGTCGCGTGTGCAGCTTCTTCTTCAGCGGCTGGACCTCCTCGCTGACATTGACTTCGAGCTCCGCAGAGCCACAGAAGGTGCGAGACGCAGTCGTAGTCACACTTTGGTACCGCATCACAACTTGTGCCCACTCACAAGAGCTGACTTTGCTTGCTCATCGCGAAGTCCACTAACTCGTAGAGCCCAGGACGGGATGACCGAGGTCACAACGGATAGTTCTCCGCAGCGCCCGCAGTGCAGTCTCCGCTCTGAGCCCGGGGGGGTTGCCTCACCCACCCCTTCGACGACTGAGGGGGGGGAACGTACGACCACCCCGCCCCCTCTTCCCAACTTCAAAGGGGGGCATACCACCACCGGGCCCCCTCCCGAGGATTAGTACTATGCCTGGTATCAATGATATGGTTGCACTTTGTATCATTGGTATTAATGCTGCTTCTTGCTATTATTGTGGGACATTTGGTCGTGGTGGTGGTGGTGGTGGTGGTGGTGGGGAGGCATGTTTGACACTTTGATGAGTATCATGATATCACTAAATGCAAATCAACATTGCACATAATAACAATAATATATACTCATGTTAAACACTGTATAGTAGCATACAGTGACCTTTAATTGTTGTGGTTTGTGGAGGGAGGGGGGGCCGGGGAGGTAGGGGTTGGGGGAGTGGGGCGGGGGCGGCGGGCATATGCTATTTTCTCACAAAATACTTGATTCCTGTCCATTCGGATTCACGTCACAGGAAACAACATCGAGCTGCTCCAGGATCGGCTCCATCGTGCCGAGGAGACCTGTGCTGACACGCCGAGCCGGATTCTGAAGGCGGTCACCGGTGTACCTTCGGTGAGTTATGCTTTGTCAAGCGGAGGCTAATGGGCCCAAGGTGAAGACGCTACTGTACACACTCTCCGGGACTGTTGTGCGTGTTCGGTTGTCTTCGTCGGAGGACGTGCCAGCATCATGACACCATCTTGTTGAGCTGGTTTTTGTTCTTGTTACCGTGTGGCCGAGCGCCCATAAGTACTGAGCGAGAAACGGTAAAAACGATCGACATCGAATGCTTGGATTGGAACTCACAGAGGCCAAGTAGGTTTGGAGTAGATCACGTTGCAGCCATGCCTTGGGCATGCTGTTGCCTTTCACCACAGCAGGTAGATTGCCAGGCACAAGTGGGAGAGCAAAAGAGAGCGAGGTCGATTGTAGAAGCCTAGCTTGCAGAGCAGGGTGTCTGAAAGGAGCATGGCCTGGATGCTCCAGAAAGACTTCGCCTCGCCCGTCGACGACTGGATCAACTGAGAGCCCTACAAAGGCAAAAGGAGACTGAAGAGAGGGCAGAGAGAGCTAAGAGGATTGAGAGAGCGGACATCGGAAAGCTCTTTCGCCAGGCTCAATGAGTCACTGGAGGCAGCGGTAGCAGTGCCGCAGGATGCTGGGATCTCGCATTGCATAACATACAACTTTGAGCTAGAGGTGCGTGAGATGCCTCACTGTGCCTCTGTGACAGCATTCCACGATGTGACATGTCATTAAGCAATCTTCGCGTGCATCGTGCGTGCGAGGAAATCCGAGAAGCGATCGCCGGCTGCATGGAAGCGCTCCTTGGCAGAATACGACACCACCGGACCGAGCCACAGCAGGCCATCTGTTTTGAGCAGGCGAGATTGATCGAGATTGCACGTCCTCATGAGTCCGGAAGGTTGTTGCAAAGCATCCTCTTCGCTATGGATTGCAGTCGCCTAGGCAGCTTGAGCCCGAGCAGCAGCCGGCCGTGGTGGCAGCCCAGGCCCGACTGGACGTTCTGAAGGCAGCGGCGGATTTGGCAGAGGCGAGCCTCAACTTCGTGGCTGGGCCTTCAAATCCGAGCAATCGGAAAGACAGAGGTGCGCGGAGTGAGCACTCGGTAACTGAACTGAGGATGCCGATGCACTGCAACTTGCTTTAGAGGACGCCGGGCTTTGAACATGTAGCAGAAGTCTGAATGTTGTTGCTTGTTTAGACTCGCCCGCCCCTACCTTGACTAAGTGAGACGGAAATTGACGTGTCCGAGAGGTTTGGGGCTGGCTTGGGGCTTGGGTGGCTTTGACTAAGTTAGACGGAAATTGGGGCGTCCGATGGAATTGCGGGGTGTAGGGTTTAGGGTTACGGGGGGTTTAGGGTTTGTCATCCACAGCTTTTCCTGTGCGCTCTTGCCTTATGAGGGAGTGATGGTTGCATAGGCGCTGGCCGGCACCTCGGTCCGTGCTGGACGGGCAAAACGGGAGAGCTTGGGCTTGAGTAGATCGTGGGTGCCTTAAGATTGACCATCAGCAGAAAGGAAGCAAACAAAGCACCAAATCAGCCGGCCAAAAGAAATGCATTACAGTATGGACTCCCCCCAGAATGGTACTGGCTTGAATCGGCACAAAGCACGCATTATAGACCGTATCAAGAGCAGGACTCCACGTTACAAGGCATTGAACTTTTCCATTGCGACCAACTTTTCGCATGCTCTACACGGTTTCCATGATGTGGCCGGTGTGGCTGACAGCTAGTTCTCTGCGTGTGGCCTTGGCTTTTGCCTGCTCGCCCTCAAAGAGACAACTTAGCGACCTAGGACCTGCGACGATCTAGACAAGTAAAGGATCAAGACCAAGAACGCTTTTGCCCAGATGGGATTGGCAAGACTTCCAGTGGCACTACTTTATAAGTCCGCGGCCCGCATTAAGTGGCATCCTTCCCCAGTGCATCTCTTCGTATGCATTTACGACTGACTACAGGACGCACGGCGTGTCGCCATCGATGCAGCGCGGCTCAGTGAGGCAGAGGCCAGCAGAGCCGTGGACACGTTTGAAAAATGTTGAAAGCAATGCGCTGTGCATGTGGTACGGGTGATATGTGGTGTCGGGGTAAAAAATGCTCGTGCAAGTCGTACAAGCTGCACCAGCCGGCCTGAATTGTGTTAGCAGCAGTAGCGACCTTCGTCTCCCTTCTCTCTCTCTCTCTGCCCGAATGCCAGGACCTGCTTGCAGAGCTCAGTGTGATGTGCGCGGAAGGTCACAGGCTCCAAAGCAGCTTGGAGACTGTAGTAAGCGAGTTCAGAAGTTCGGACGAGGAGACGACCGGAAATAGGAGCCGTGCTGTAGGTGCAGTGAGGAAGTAAGTTGTGCTGAGTATGAGTACAGCAGACGTCTCAGCTGCCACTAAGCCACCAAGGACTGCGCGGGGAGGTTCCGCCTTGTGCTTGCCAGGGCTGCTATGCGCAGTCGGATGCTAAGGCTTCCGTCAAAATTTTCGCTTGTTGCTCCAAGGCTGCAGGCCCTCAGACTTGCCTTGCGCTTGCCTTGCAGTCTTTCGCTGCCTGCCTGGTGACAGGAGTTGACGTGGTCGCGCTGCGAGCCCTGCGACTACGCCCTGTGCCATCACTGTGTTGCATGGCGCGCCAAGGGCCGCCGGCGATTTTTGGAGGAGTCGCCAGAGGCCGAGGAGGCCGAGGAGGTCGAGGCCGAGGCCACTCGGGCGTCCTTGGGCGCCGGGTCCGCAGAAGGCCCGTCTTTTGAGGCACCCGAGGCACCCGAACTGCCGGGAGCGGTTGCATCGGAAGACTCATCTCCGGTCTTCTCACTTGGCTTTGACGAGGCTGATCATAGGAAGTGGTTTGACCGCTGGGCCGCACGGATGTGTGCGCAAAGTGCACAGTGGGAATTATTTCGCGGAGGCGAGTGGGTTCCATTTGGTATCGGCCTGTGCAACAAGCTCACAGCTGCCCTAGCAACCGGCGATAGCACGTTTCGATATGTAGCCACGAACAGGCAGGTACATGTTTTCAGTTTTGACACGATGGAGCAAGTCATCTTGGCTACCGGCAAGCGGAGATCTATGCGGCGAGTCCTCTGGGAAATCGAGTTAGACATTGGGTGGGTTCTCGTTGAGGAGGAATTGGCTCTTCAGTTGCAGATGCAGGAGGTGAAGGAAGAAATCTCCTTCGAGTATTTCGCAGGGGGAATGAAATACACGGTCAACTTTTTCGAACGGAAGCAGCTTAACTTGGAGCTCGGCACGAAACGTTCCTTACGCAAAGTGGCACTGCAAGATGTGGTCCCGAAAATGAGCAGGCAGCAGCTGCGAATGGCCTTGGAGGACGACTTTCCAAAGTTTGCCTGTGCGACTCGCCAGTGGATCATGATTCGATGGCCATGGCAACAGATCGGGGACTGCAGTATCGACGCTTGTCAGTTCGTGGAGACAGGCTTGGCTGATGAGATTGCATCAGGGCTTGCAGGCATGCAAGAAGGTGTCCCGCAACTAGGAGGCATTCTTCAGAATATTCTTTGGTTCGACTACGTGGATGATGTCAAAATGGAGCGATTGACACAAAAGCAGGCCCGCGCGACGGAAGTGGTTAATTCCAGGTGGATGCTGAACAGATGTGCGCTCCTGTCTGTACTGGCCTAGGTGGTCAACGCGGTCGCCCAGGACTCTCGATGGCGATGGGGCCACGCCGGTTCCTCGCAGCAAGATGAGAAGCATCGTCACTTCGTAGTAGTAGTGCAACCACTGCAGTGAGACCTCCACGTGAGTACGACATGGTGACCCTGTTCACGATGACTCGACAGTATGCAGCCTGATATAGGCAATTGTGCGGGAAGTCTCTTCACACTCCGGCCACGTGCAGCCTGTTTCAGCCCAGGTGCGGAGGATGCTGTCAGCGCGCTTTGGGTCGATCTAGGGCTCGTGGCCACGGAACCCGTGAGCAAGCTGGAGTGTCTGGTTGCAGGTGCCCAGGTTCCAGCACACCCCAAGAAGACCTCGCTCTGCTTGCGCAAAATGTTGTCGGAACTCATGGCAGAACGGGATGCCGCCTCAAAGGGCATAGCTTGTGTTTGCGGCAGCTTTCCGACTCTAAACTTGGTTGTTGGAGGAGCGCGCTCAGGGTATGTTGATGTGTTTTCTCTTTGGATTGAGGTGGCTTAGCTGACGAGCTGGCAAATGCTTTGACATCGAGCTCGGCTACTGTGGATGACTGGATCATGGATAATAAGCAGCCGCTTTGGGAAGGTTGGAGCCTTGAAATCCGGAAATGCCGTTTGTTTTCGGGACTTGTCCTGAGCAGGTCAAGATTGCGCACTTTGCTATTGCGCCATCGGCCAGACAGATGCCGGCCGGCGAATGCGCTGCGGATGCTGGCTTCATTTTGAGTGCCTCGGTCATGGGCTGAAGGCAAGGCAGCCAAGGCATGGACCCCGAGAGCTGCTAGGCGTTGAGAGTGTGGAGCCTGGAGGTGCTCATAAACGAGCACACCGTGGATGATCAACGCATGAGCACCTGCCCGGCAGCATGCGGCCGGCTCCTCGCCTGCAGACCATCTAGTGACATCTAGTGCCAGTTCAAGTGGTCGCGGATGTTCTGCGGAAGGCCACTGGGCCGAATCATGCCACCCGGCGTGATTCACAGAGCCGTTGGCGACGAGCTCTTTGCCAAGACGCCTGCCTCAAAAGACTGCCATGTTATTCAACAAGAAAAGTGAATCGAGTTTGCGTCCGCTAGCGACGAGCCTCTGTGCCAGCGTCTCAATGTCAATGCATTGTGCAGCCTGCAGGTACCTGGATTTGCGTGTAGAGGTCCAGTGGCAGAAGGAAGCAATGGACTCGGGAAAACTGGTGGCGAAATGTCCCGGCTGCAGCTTCCTGGTTCTGTGCAACGAGCTTGAGGCTCGAGGAATCTATCGCGCCCTTGTGGCACTGCTTGTTCAATCTTACACACTGCGCCATTCTTTCACTTTCTGGGCATATGCAGGAGATGCACTCCATCAAGTGCTTGCGGAAAGGTCTCCACAGAACGTTTGCATGCCCTTGGACATCGAGCTAACTCAAGTCTCATCCTGAACACGAGGCTGCGTCGTGGATCGCTTTTGCGCATTCTGTGCTCGCCTGAGAGCACGGACTGGGCACTGCGCAAGATCTGATTGTCTAAAATCCTACCCACATGTTTGAGAGTGCAGCATCGTGACGTGGCTTCTGCCTTGTGTGTCTCTTTCGTCGCCCATCGGTCTCCGACGTTGATTGGGCCGAGGTGGCATGGCACCACATCGGCCCTGGACTTGCAAAGAGCGTGCGCTTCAGGACGCCGTGCCGCAGGCAGCCCGCCATTGTCAGAATATGACTTATTCGTGAAGGGTTCTGAAGGGTTGAAGCATGTTGAAACCTAAAAACATTTCCGGATCAGTGCGGGCAATGTGAGGCACGACAAAGAATCGAAGAGGCACTCGTGGAAGCACTGCACAGGAGGTGTCCAGGATGTGCAATGCCTACCGAACGGACGGATGCATGCTGCCATATGACTTGTTCCAACTGCAGAATCGAATTTAGTTGGGTATGTGGCATGGAGTATGGCCACTGCCGTGCGAACCATCCGTGCTTGAACGGAGCTATCTATTTGCACGCGATGCCGCAGCTCGTTGCCATCTTGGCAGAGCGTGGGCTGGAAGCATCGGACCACAACGGAAGCGACCTCTTTCTGGAGTTGCGCTGCATCTACTTGCTCTCGCAAGTCCGGGCGGAAGTGGGCGAAGAATCCTGGACGAGAACGCGTCCGAGCCTCTGAGTTCTTAAAGGAAGCGTCATGTCGACCCATCATGTGGTGCCATGCCTTGAGACTCATTGCTGATGCTTCAGCTCGCTGAACATGTCAGCCCGAAGATACTCCTCCTCTCGGTTGTTTGCTTTTACTTGATGTGCCATCCCCGAAAGCTTCTCATTCAGGCACATTCCGGCGAATCGGCATCCCTTTTCCGAGCATCGTCAGTCGGTCCTTCGCTTGTTGGCTATGCCTTGTTCTACTTTCAACAGCGAGTCGCAGGAAACACAGTCACACATTTGTGTCGGTAGCAGGGCACAGCAATCCACAGTCTCGTCTGGTGCTGCGGGGACATGGAGAGGCTTGACGGTGAAGCCCGACGGTCTTTGTACAATTGTACTATGAGGTGTGGAGCATCCTGAACTTCTCACGGATGTGATCCGGAGTTCATGGAGCATTCCTTGGAATGAAATTGGGAATGTGCGGCGGCTGACGAAACTGCTGCCTTATGCCTTTCCAGCATTTGAGAAGTCGGCCCGGTCGGCCATGTGGCTGCACAGCTTTGCGTGAACTTGTCTGGCATGACTTCCATCATACTTGTGTCTGCTTGCCATTGCCCCAAGGACCGTGGCGCTGAGGTGAAGCCCCGGCTGCTCTCTGTGTTGGACGAGATGATGTGAAGCATCCTGTGGGTCATTGGGTGGGGGGTGTTCTGTCTTTGCTCTTTACTTGGCCCATGGCAGCAAATGCACAGGCGCGGCATAGTCGGCCTGCTGTCGCTTGCTGTAGTCTGACTCCGGCCGTGTCAGCTGGAATCAAAAAGATACACTTTTTGGGCCTGCACTGCTGATTTTCGTTGCTTGAACGCGGGTCATTCGGCAATGTGGTGCAACTGCTAGCTATGACTGCTGTATCACCATGACCCTGCTCGTAACCACTGATCGCCAGGTGCATGCATCCTGAGCATTCTTGGGGACTCTTCGAGGATGGCCTTGAAAAAGATATGCGCCAGGGTGCTAGAGGTCCTAGGTCCTAGGAGTTTGAGCCAAGGGATATGGTATTGCGCCAAGAACCCTGACTGGCAGCTGGCCCTCTTCTCGACTCCTGACAGTCTTGCCATGGGCAGAGAAGTTGTTGATATTTTGTTGCACTGAGCGAAGCTCATGGCAACATCTTTGCTCCAAAAGCTGCATCGAGTACCCATCAAGAGTCAGTACAGTCATGAAAAAGCATCACAGTCCTGCATTGGTTCTCGTGGCTGTCCAGTAATCATGATGGTTACTCCAACGGCATGTTTCGCTAGCAGCAAGAAACCGCCCAGTTGAACATTGAGAGAAACAGTCCTGCCTGGACATTCGGGTGTGTGGGCTCGCTGTTGCATGGCACTGTGCTTTTGTTGGGAAAGTTAAAAGCGCCATCACAACATGGAGGAGCAAGCCCTCAGAACTGGACACAAATTCGCACTAATATCAGTTTCCATGATGTGCTTTTGCACGTGTGTATACACCCAGAGATGTAAGTAGTACAAACATATTTAGTCACATACATACATGCATGCATGCCTACATACATACACACAAATAAAGATATATGTATATACATACACCATCTCTCTCTCTCTATATATATATATGCATTTGTATATGTATATACGTATACAAATGTATATGTATATATATATGTGTGTGTGTGTGCATATATATATATAATTTATTTATTTATTTATATATATATATATGTATGTATAGAATTATGTATGTATACATGCATCAATATGCGCATTTGTATTTTTTGCTTTGTGCGAATTCTCCATCCCTGCATTGTTGCTCCGAACCTGTTGTTGCAGGGAACCTGCATGCTCCCACCAGGGGTGTCTGCGTGAGCAGTGCCTCGTTTTCAGCCGCGGTTATCTATGTAGGGTGTAGAACATGTCCGACAAGTGCTACTTTGCTGGACCTGACTTGCTTGCAGAAGGAGGTCTTGTCGCATGTGTGGCTTGTGATCTCCCTGCGGCATTCATCTTGGAAGGTGAGTGGCAGACAAACCGACGATTCTGTGCAGCTCGTGGGCAGGCCCAAGTGCGTTAAGGCTAGCTGATCGGAGCTTCCAGGGTGGCGAGCCTATGCAAATTGCACCGGTGTCGCAACACAGAACATGTATGGAGCACCACTTTACCGTCCCATGGTTATGGCCTCCAGTTGCCTCGAGACTGCGTCAACAATCACGACCTGCTGCTCGCTCGTCCGGCGCAGATGCAGAACCTGCGGGGCGTGAAACTTCGCCAGCCCAGCAACAAGTAAGGGATCTGGACAGTTTATTATTTGAATGGCATGCCTGCGGCGTCCCTTCGCCCTTCTGGACGACCCTGTCTTTCTCAGCTCAAACGGAGGAGCTCAGGGTTCGGGCCAAATCACCACCATGACTTCGATTTGGTTTCAAAGTTCAGACAAACTCAGGAGTAGAAGCAGCACCACCAAGAGAAGCACAGCAGCACGTAGCCCACTTCCATGCACTCATGCTGCAAGATGTCGCGCCTGGTTGTGATCTTAGTGCTTGAGTGCATCGGCCTTCACGGAGAAGTGGAGAGAGCCTTCCTCATACAAGGTCCAGGATGCCCACCTCGAGCCAGGTCCTTCTCGGCTCCACTCCATTTGCAAGCTCGAAGCCGAAGCGTTCATAGTTTATTTAAGAGGGGCGGGAATGAGTCGTCGTCAATGATCCTATGTATCTCATGATGTGAGCTTTGGTTTTCACGTTTGGAAGAACAGCCTTCTGCCAAAGTGCCATCGAGCCAGGTCTGGCACCACACGAGAGCCCTCCCCGGCCCCGCGGCTGGAGCGACTTGGATGCGCTTCCATTCCATAACGTTAGCCGATTGTCAATGTCTTCACCGAAGAAGTTCTGTGCTACGTCCTCTTTCTCTTGCCAGGTCTTTTTTGCTGAAGGTCTGACCTGTACAACTGCTTCTGCTGTGCAACTCGAGGCTCCCCATCGCACCTCGACGCTCTTCCTCGTGCGGCTCTGATCGTCGAATGTCTGGTAGGATCGTCGAAGCACATCGGAGACTTGTATAGTGAGATTCCACTGACCCGTGAGCAGTTGGGTGTAGCTTGGAAACACTGCTCCATGCCGCAGCTGTTCCTTGCTTAAGCACGATCCACCTGCCTGTTTCTGAGAGCTGCTGCAGGCATCCAGTTGCTGAAATCCGAATCGCCCACCGAGCCTGTCACAAGTTCGTCTGCCACAAGACTGATCTCGGTCTTGGTGCCGCCCTTCAGAGACTTTCATTTCCAGCACTGTGGCGACAGGCCATGGCTCCTTGGACCCGGCCTTAGCCTTCGTTGCGGCCTTAAGGCCGCTGCTCCTCGAGAGTTCGAGTCGCAGGTGGCGGTCCGCACTCCTGGCTTCTTTGGCCCTCGCCAAGCCCGAGGATGAAGCGGCGCGACTGGCAGAGCCGGGGCTCTGAGCTTTGAAAACTTTGACAGCCTCAACCGAAATACACAAAAGAACCTAGGGTGGCATGGTGCTGACACGAGGGCCTCAGTGGCTTAAGCAGGGAGTTCTGCAATGCTCGCTTGAGTGTTCCTTGAGGCTCGGAGTGGCCTCCATCCTGAGCCTCAGCTGCTGTTTGCAGGTCGCCATTGTAAATCACCATTTTAAATTTTGCACGGTGTCACCATAACTAAGTGCTTGCCGAGTCTAGATCTCAGATAAATGTAGAAACTAGATGTGATTGCGTGATCTTCGGTGAGTGCCTGCAATCCCTTGGGCTTGTGTAGTGTCGCAGCATGATCCGCGCATCGCTATTTGAGGCAGTTCGCGCCTGATGCTACCGAAGTAGAGGCTGCAGGCTCGTCTTAATATCTTCATTCTGAAGCATTCACAGCTTGTGCCGTGCGGCAGGCGCTGCATCGCCTGGAACACCAGCCCATCCCCCAGGGGCAATGTAATATGCCATACGGTTCGATAACGAATTTCCAAGGTGCATACAAGTGCCAAAGCCAGTGGGACCATCTGAACCCATAGAATGCTCAGGTGGTGATGATGCACGGCATGGGCGACTTCGCAAACAATCCAATGGGCATGGTTCCGTTGCGGAAGCTCATTGCGCAGGCTGGTCACGTGCATTAGAGCCAAAGCGTTCAAGGATACCTGGAGGCTAGACTGGTAGCTCTCTCGGGTGCTGGTTCCCAGATCTCCCTGAAATCCCAACTCTGGCTCTAGCTGCTTACATAATTTGCCCGTGGTCTTGCCACCCTGAGACCGCCAATGCTTACGTGCACAGCGTGGAATTGTGCTCGAGTCCTTCCAAGCTTTCTGGCTGCGACTCAGAGGACCCCCCTTGCTTGGGGATCTGGCCCACGCAGCTCGCATCTCGTGGCTGTCCTAGGTGGACATGGCTCAAGCGTGGAGAGTGGGTCACTAGGCCATAGTAGGCCACTAGGCACTTGTCCTCGCGGCGATGGGCCTCAGGCTCAGGAGCATGCAGGCCCGGAGAGTGTAGGCTTATGATAAAAATAATAGTAATAATAATAATAACAATAATCATAGCAATAATAAGATGTTCCCCAGAAGCCGATCCTTGGTGCCAGGTCCACTGCTGCGCCGTTCGTCTCTGTGCTCTGGTCTACTTCTTTGCCTTCTTGGGGCACCGTGGCCAAACTGCTGGCATTGACTCTGCCGGTTATATGCGCCGCATCTAGACTATCCTAAACTATCTCTCGTTCTAGATGTGTGTGCCGTCATCAGCCGCCTTAACAGAACAACACTTGCATGCCTCAAGCACAGAATTCCCACCTGCAGGGGCATCCTTTCAAGATGGTTCTGGGCTGCAGTGCGAAGCACTGAGGAATGTGTTGGACGGGCCCATCATGTGGAAGCTGGAAGCTCCAGCTGGGTACACGTCTGGGGTTTTAGTCCGCCTGAACGAGATCGCGCTCATTCCGGCAGTCCTGGTGTTTTTGAGGCACGGCCAATGCCCTGTGAGACTTCCTTTTGTGCCACAGTTTGATGTGTGATCTTGCTACATGTCATCTTACGTCATGTGGCCCCGATTGCATTCAGGCCCTGGTGGTGGCCAGCACTTCTTGTTTGCTGGAAGATCTGGCACGACACAACCCGTGCTGGTGGATCCCAAGCTACTGTTCCGTCATTCTTGACACTTTCACCACAATCTTTAACAGTAGCGTAGCTGCGGCACTGTTTGTTAGGTTTTGCATGATCCACCTCCGCCATAAATGCCACGTTAGCAAACTGTCCCGGAACCTGCAACAGAGTCCGAAAGCCTCGCAGGTGGATTCTGGTTCTTCTTCGGATGGGATCAAATGATGGATGAAATTGGCTTCCTCAGCTGTCTCTTGTCCGTGACCCTCACACTGTACGACCATGATGGTCAGGCGCGGACTAAGGAGACTGAGGGCAGCAGTTGCCCGCTGGATGGTTGTTCTGCCCCGGTGATTGTAGCTGTCCTGCTATGTATCTGCTGGCCAGTCGGAAGACAACCAACAGCCCAGCACCTCTTCGTCGGGCTCCAGTGAGGCAGCAGAGCACCTAACGCCAGGACAACAGGAGGCTGGATGCAGAGCTCACGGAACTGCACCAGATCAAGGCTGGTTCTGTTGCACATCTGCAGGAGCGCGAGCCCGTCTTGCAAGCCGAGAAGGCGCCATGCCTTTCAAAT